TTTTTTTTATAAGATTTAATTAATTTTTGTGTTAAATTATTATATTATATTTGACTTTGTGTTTGATACATTTCGTAAATAAAATAACTATTTAAAAATCTGGACTTAGCGCAAATATTTTATATTCACGGTGATCTCGAAATTGTGTGTGTGTGTGCGGCTAGAGTCTAGGTTGGACTGCTGGTCCTTTAGTCAATCTTAATAATTAGTGTACGAGCTGGCTAGTGTTTGGGCTTAACCGTCCTTTAGTGGGTATAGTAAAAAGGTAGTTGTGCTGGTGGCTGACAAGGAGCCACCCTTCAGTCTGCTACTTTTGAGCTAGACTGTGCTGATGGGTCTAAAATCTACCCCTTTAGTAGTCCACTAATTAGAGAGATTGGGGCTGATCAGTTTATCCAACGGGAGGACTCGAGAAGAGCTCGGACGACGAACTCGTCGTCTATATATATACACATAAAACTTTAATAAACCTTTGTGTCTACGTTGGGGCACTACCGACGTACGACAGTATTTTTACTAGTATTATAAATTTAAAGATATTATAAAAGTGTAGTATCTTACATTGAAATTAGTATTCATTTTTGTAGACTTAATATTGACATGAAGGCTTTACCTGTTGCTATTAATTTACCAGCAGGATATTTATCCGTACAACCCTTAGGACTTGGACAAGGGGTAAGATTATAATTTTTTTTTTTAAATATAAATATATGACTGTTAAATTTAATCTTTTTTATTATAGTATTGTGGTCCAGAAATTAATTGGATTGATGGACAAAAGTTATTATTTTCATTCAAGTTCCATTTGTTATCCAGTGTTTATTCATCAGATATTCATATGCAAAATTTGTTCTTACATTCAGAAAGATTGGAAAATAGTAAAACTACAAGCATTATACCTCCAGAAACAGAGACTTGTAAAATTTTGAAGGTAAAAATTAAAAAAACAACTTTTTTTTAAAATTTTGATATGTTTTCAATAATATAATAATAAAAACATAAAATATAATATAATTTTCATATATTTAAATAATAGGCATCACATGCAATCCATTTAACAACTGTTATAAATTTCTTGCCAACGTTACTCAACCAACTATTCAACTTATTGTCACTTACAACAAGCAATGATATTGCTATTAATATTATACGTTTATTAGTACATTTAGTAGATTCTATTCAAGAATCAGGTCGTTGTGAAGCCTTAAATATTTACATAAAGGTAATAGACAGTACTTAATAAATATTACATTATTATTTAACGTATATATAAATTTTTAGCTTCGCAATATAGATAAAATAAGTCTGTCTCATTTTTGATATCATAAAATAATAAAAAAGATTTGAAAATTTTGTCTTCATATAATATATGTTGTACAAATATATGTTGATAAATTAATTTCAGTTTAGATAGTAGGCTACTTTTATTTATTATTATTTTTTTAAATAAATAATTTAAAAATAAATACCATACTATAATTTATGCTATAAAAAATAATAAATTTTATAAAACATTTAATTTCAAATTTTTTTTTATTTTTATTTTTTCATAAACAATCGATACATTTTTTTTTATAATATAGGGGTAAATATATGACATGTAAACTTAATAAGAAGTCACCCATTAACAACAATTAAAATTAAAAAAAAATTTTTTTTGAAAATAAAATATTCTATACTTTTGATTTGAAAAAAAATTTTTGTTATGTTTTCCGAGAAATTTCCAAAAAATAAGTTGAAAAATTCTAATTTTTGTGCGCATTTTTCAAGCTTTAAATCTAGGTTTGAATCATAAAACATGTCTTAAGGTAAACATTTTTTTTTTTTTCAAAATAAATAAAGTATATTGTATAAACTTTAATTTAAGATATATATTTATAGATATAAGAGTTTTCAAAAGTTACTATTTTGAATGTCCCCTGTGTGCAGGTATCGGGTAGATTTTCAAAAAATATATACTTAATGAAAGGAATATATCTAAGTTTATGAAATAATAAAAAATTGTTTTGATTTATTTGTTTTAAATATAATTTTTTTAAAACATCAAAATTTACTGACTTTGAAATTATACTTTTTATGTGGATTTTGTCTATTTACAGGAAATGAGGTAATTTTCTTTACATATTTTTGTAAATAATTGGTCTTGTTTGAGCTGAGAAAAAGTGGAAACAGCCATAAAACAACATAATAAAATTAATTATCTTAACAATTTCACATCAAAGCTAAAAATTCATTGAAAACATACTATTTATTCTTGCAGAACAAAGACAAAACATTATCAAATTTATTTAGTAATTTTTTATTACAATGAAAAATATGTTTTAATCTAATTATTTTTGACTAAATAATGTATATATATATATATATTTATAATCTTCAAACAATTATAAAACTTATTATATAAATTAATCTCATCTTGTAGACACTGGATACTGTTTATGAGGCATAAAAATTTAGAATAGTCCAATATATTTGTTTAGTTATTGAAGAACTATATATCATAAATATTACAATCTCTCCCAAAATTGTCAAGAAGTGTGTGATACATGTTTAGCTAAGATATAAATTGATTGTTAATTAGTTATTTAGTTATTTATTTATTAATTTATTATCATAATTGTTTATTGAAATTAAAATTTATGTAATCTGTTTTATCTATTTTGTTATAAATTTAGTATGTTTTTACTACACCTACCTCGAATGTGCCCAATAAAACTGTCCATGATCAACTTCTTATTCACCTACCTGGCCTGTTAAATCCAGATAATACAGATTTTTTACTTATTAATAAGTTTCTAGTTAATTCAAATTTCTTCTTGCAAATTGTTATCAAGAGTATGGCTCAATACTTGCTAGCCTCAACTAGAATAAAGGTAACTCATTGATATTATTTCTAAGGTAAAATTTCTTAAATAAGATAAAATACCATAATATTCTAAGAAATAATTTTTTATATCTATTTTAATATTTAATCATATCAAACAAATTTTTCTGGTTTTTTCTTTTTTTTTAATAAAGTTTTGTTCTAATATGAAACAATATGCCTCAAAAATTAATTTTATTAAATAATCCAAAAACTTTTCAAAGGTTTCTTGATAATAAACTTGAGACGGTGGGGTAAAACACTGACTTCATAATAATTTAGTCAATTTACCACCTTACTCTAAACTATCTTTCAATACGATTAATACTAAACTTGGATCAGGTAATTTTTACTATCTTAAAATTAAAAAGATAGTATTGTAAATATTTAACAAAGTAAATTTATGAAGTTAATTCAAATTATACTCATGTTAATAGATGAGACGCAATGAACGGTTTTCAGCAGAATACCATGATCGAGTTCAACACATGATTATTAATGTACTTTTGCCATATGTCATGAACAAACACAAAGAGATGAGCTCTCAAGTTTCTAAGTTAAATTTAGCCTCAGCTCATTTTTTAAAAAAATGTTTGACTTTTATGGATCGAGGATTTGTCTTAAAATTGATTAACTTATATGTGAGCAGTCTATCTACATGTGATTCAACTTTTGTGATAAATGCTAAACTACTTTTTATGAGAGTAATTCTATCTCATGAACATTATGTGTCTTTTAATTTACCTGTTCAAAATGGTCAAACACCTCAAGGTTGGTCACCAAACGCTCAGTTTTTCATGTCTGAAGAGTATTGTCGGCATCACTTTCTTACAGCAATTTTACTACGAGAAATAGTTAGTTCATTTAGTTCACCGCATGAATATAGACATTCAGCTATAACATGCTTACGTGATTTATTGGCCAAACATGAGCTTGATGATCGTTATCAATCAAAAGTAAGTTAATTATTATGATTTGTATTACTTAGCTTTATTATAACTCTTGTTATTATTTTTTAATTCAAATTTTATCACTTAGCAAAATGTAGAATTGAAAGTTTTATGTTCATACAATACAATTATTTATTTAATATTAAACCTTATTTAAAATGTTACATGTCTTAATGTTTGGCTCTAATTTATCTATTACTTTAGTTTTGTTGAAAAACTCAAGTTTTTGAGCTTCACAGCAGAGCTCATTACTGTAATAAGGCTGTACACTCTGTGATGCGCCAGGTGCTCTAGAGGATCCCAATAGTCACTTTACCTTTCGGCTAACTACTTTGTAACAAATTAGCAATCCTGTCACTTGGTAAGGCTGGGTTAAGGGGTCCTATTCACTGTTAGCAAGCAGGTATGCCCAGGCCTACCGGTCTCAACTAACCAAAGTCATGATCGACTAAGAACAGTGGTACGTGTTGCCACCTTCACAGAATTAACTAGGGTCTAGGGGGTTGTTAAGCCTTTGATCTTTACGAATTCCACTGCGGGAGTCCACATACCATAAATATTGATTCTTTACGAACCATCTTAATTAGTTGCCTTTGACTTAATTCTCTTATGACCTTCTCTAGTTCTATGTTAAATGGTGTCGGATATAAGGCATCATCCTGTCAAAATACTAAGTTAATATAAGACTCCAATGATAATTCTTTAAAACTACATGCATTGCACAGTTTAACCATATCAACATATTTCTTTGGTATACTAAAGTTAATCATAGCTTTCTTTCTATCTTTAAGTTACATCGGTACTTTCCAATGATCTCATCAGCAAAGGGAGCCAATCTCTTCATTAGGATTAATGAAAGGATACTCTCATCTTTATGAATCCTACTCCATTTTCAAACTTTCCGTTCCTATAACACTAGAAAATAGTTTCATCATTCTTTTTTATGTTGCTTTCTCGGGACCATCTTATCACTTGTAGAGCTAATAAAGTAACATTGTATTTTTAAATAGTGTCTAACATACAGTGCAATATACCCTTTTTATTAAAGTTCTGATACTACAAGTACCATCTTCCGATTCCAGTTGTTGTCCAATTCTCTTCCTTATCCAAGGCTTCTTTTGTAGTTTCTTGTGTATTTTATGTTGTTGGGTTATTAGCCCTACAATCAGCTTTCCTTTCCTATAAAGGAAAGAAGCTCGAGGTCATGGGTTCTCCACACCCATAATACTTAAAGTGTTTACCCTGAAAGATATATAATTTAATTATTATAAACTTTTATACCATATTTTTTCATATTTTAGGGTCAAATGGCAAGAATTGCATCATTATATCTGCCCTGGCTTGGAATTGTTCTAGAAAATGTTAGTCGTTTAGATTACCGTAAAAAAATTACAACACAAAAAAAACTTATGTCTCGACATTCTAATTTGCCTTTAACTAGGTAAACAACATTTAATAAACATATTGTATAAAATTGACTCAAATAAAACATAAAATATTTTATCTTAGGCCCAGTACTTTAACTTCTGATTCTAATTCACGAATGTCAATCAATTTAAGAGATTCTACTTATTTTGCAGCAATTGCAAGCCACTGTAAGAATAATTATACCATGCTTAATTTCCAAGTACAACTTATCTATGTATTATAATTATTATTTAGTGACACCATCAAAAAAATTATTATATAACCAAGATCAACCACAACCTGATGAGAGTAAAACTGAGTCTACACTAAGTATCAGCTCTAATTCATCATCGCTTGATCAAACTACCTTTTCAGTATTCTCTCACGATACAGCAATAAGAAAAAGCTCAAATTTATCGGATACTTTCTATAATGGAGGTAATAACCAACATTCCAGATCTGTCAGTGGTACACAGACATTTCATCTAACAATGGATGCAGTTAGTAAATTTGAAGCAGCTGAAGTCAAAGATGTGATTCTTTGTTTTTTGTTTGTTTTGAAATACTTGTCTAAGGATCAATTGGTTTCTTGGTGGCGTTATTGTTCAGAACAGGATACAGTAGCGTTCTTCAAAATAATTGAGTCAGTTGTCTATTGTTGTTTTTTTCAAGATTCTTATTTATATTTGGTTAATTTTTAGATTGAGCTTACAAGAATTTCAATATTTAGGTCGTGATCAACTTACCGCTATAGCTACAGCTGCAGTTAACTCTCACACTACTGATAATAATCAACCTATTTTGGGATCAACAACTAAAAAGGCTATGACTTTACCTGCGCGTATGCAGCCACCTTCTGATTTTCACATAGAAAAATTACTACATCAACATCAAACATCACCAACTCAAACTACACTCATAGGTAGCAGTGGAACTGGCAGTATAGGTCGTGTTGAAAAAAAAGGTATTAAACAAAATTATTAGTAAAATGTTGCTTAATAATTATTTCATTTTTATTGTAATAGATAATAGTTATACAAGTGAAGATAATTTAGCTATTCAGGCTCAATCTGAGGCAAATCTCGCAGCAGAAGTTGCACTAATATCATTAGATGCTCTTTCGTCTTACTGCATGCACTTTAAAGATACTTTAATGACCCATAGTGGCGATAATACTGTTATGGAAAGTGTTTTTTCTGTACATCTTGCTTTCCTAAGTATTCCTCAATCAACCTCTGTCAGTGTACATGTATTTGCTGTACTTCGATCATTTATCAATAATTATTCTTGTATCTTGTTTAAAGGTATATTAAAACTTAACTATTTCCTATATTGTATGAATTTATAAAATTTGATTTTTGGCAAAGGTACTGCTCAATTAGTTGGAAAGCTTTGTTCACAACTTTTAAGTGGTTGCAATAGCCGTTCAACTGTAGTACGTCAAGAATCATGTGCTGCATTATATTTATTAATGCGTAGTAATTTTGAGCTCACATCCTCCAACATAACACGTGTTCATTTGCAAACAGTAATATCAGTTTCTCAATTATTGGGTGATATGAACATTGAAGGCCTCAACAATACACGTTTTCAAGAAAGCCTTTCGTTGATAAATAGCTTTGCCAACAGTGATAAAGCAATGAAAAATACTGGTATGTAGAAGTTGAATCTAAATTTTTTATTGACTTATGGACTAAAATAATTTTGGTATATTTTTTGTGATATTAATTAGTGAAATTTTTGATAGTAAATTTTTTAAATTTATTTAACAATAATTATGAAATAATTGAATTATTAAACAATTCATAATATAATGAGTGATAATTATCTTTTCAAACTGTCTTATTAATAAAATTATTTTTTATTTTTAAATATTTTTTTCTTTTTGAAATATATATTGTGTTGTTTATACATTTTTAATGCCCATTTTTCTATTAATATGTTTAATAAGTAAATATATTTATCTTGGCATGTACCGAGATTCAATTCCATTACATAAGTCTATGGCACACAGGAGACTTAAAAATGGACATCAAATAAAAATACATATATGATAAGGAAAAACAAAATTTATATTCAAAATTCTTTTAAGGTTTTCCTGTTCAAGTAAAAGATTTGACAAGACGTGTTAGAACTGTTCTAATGGCTACAGCTCGAATGAAAGATTTACACCATGACCCTGAAATGCTTGCTGATCTTCAGCACAGCTTAGCTAACTCATATGCTTCTACTCCAGAATTGCGTCTGACTTGGCTACAGACAATGGCTCGAAATCATGAAGAAAATGGAGATTTTTCTGAAGTTAGTCTATTAATTTTATTTTTAACATAACAAATATTATGTTCTAAATCAATGGTAATTTTTATATATATTATAATATATAGGCTGCCTGTTGTCAACTTCATATAGCAGCTCTAATTGCCCAATATAGAAAGTTAAAATGTGTTCAAGATTGGGGAGCGGAAGCGTTTTCAAAAATATCTCTAAACATTGCTTGTGATGAAATAGGTTTGCAATTAGACTCTGGTGGTAGTGCTGGGTCTGATGATACACTTTATGGAGAAAAATCTTTGTTAGATCGGTTGGAAGCATGTGTTCCCAGTTTACGACGAGCTGAGTTATTTGAGTGTTTTGGAGAATTATACAAGCTCATAATTCCTATTTATGAAAAACAAAGAGATTACCGTGCTTTAGCTGATTGTTACAGAACTGTTAGTCATGCTTATGACGCTGCAGTGATAGCTCGACAATCTGGACGTAGAATGCTAGGGCGTTACTATAGAGTTACTTTATTTGGCCAAGTAAAATAAAATGTCTATATTTTAATGATAGTTTTGTAAAATATATATATATTTTTGTCAAAATTATTTATACAGGCATACTTTGGTGATCAACATGGTGTGGAATATGTTTACAAAGAACCTAAGCTTACTCCTTTATCAGATGTATCTGAACGATTATTATGTCAATATGGTAATAAATTTGGACGTGAAAATGTTAAAATAATAATGGATTCTAGTATGGTAAATGCATGAGAATATTAAAAAAAATTTTAACAACTGTCTTTTACAACTAAACTATTAGCTTATATATTTATTTTATTCCTCGAATTTTGTAATAATGGGAAAATGGAAATGTTTAGAGTGTAATTTTGATTTATTTTAATATAAAAAAAAAGAAGTTCATTAAATAAAAATAACTTACTCGAAAGATAGAAATGTAGATACAATTAATCTATTATTAAATTATATATCATAGCATCAGTGCAATTCAAATTATTACATTACTACTTTCAAATATATCTTATATGTATTTGAAGACTGACTATTTATTTTTATTTTTTTCTTGGATTTGAAAATAATTTATTTTGTTAATTTGACAAAATTTTAGATTTCTGCTTCAGAGTTGGATACCAAATTTGCTTACATACAAATTACTCATGTTGTACCTTATAGTGGGGAAGATGTACTACTTGTAGAAAATGAGTTTGTTTCAGAATTTGAACGCAATCATAATATTGATAGTTTTGTATTTGAAACACCTTTTACGATAGGAAACAGTGGTCAATCACAAAGTGGTCCAAGAGATCAATGGAAACGTCAAACAGTTATAAAGAGTAAATTGAATAAAAACTTCCATTTATGTTTAGTAAAAACTAATATTTTATTTTTTTATTTAGCTGAATATACTTTTCCTTATATAAAGAAAAGATTAAGAGTTTGTAGCAGACGAGAGATAGAAAAAGGACCAATTCAAGTTGCTATTGATGAAATGAAACAACGCATTTATGAATTAAGACAAGTTGTATCAACACAGCCAACTGATGTCAAAAAGCTACAGTTGAGACTTCAAGTATGTTTGATAAAAATTATAAATCTTATTTTTACAAGTTTTTGTACAATATATGTATGTCATATTTATTAGTTACATTTAATACAATCAATTCAAAAATTAAAAGAGAATTTTATAAAATAGTAAATATTTTAGGGTAGTGTCTGTGTTCAAGTAAATGCTGGGCCATTAGCTTATGCAAGAGCTTTTTTGGAACCACATGTAGTACATGATATGTGTCAAGACAAAGTTCGCGAGCTCAAAGAAATTTTTAGGTATATACAAAAAGTTTGACTATCAGTTGTGTATCGATAAATTAGTAATATTATGTATTTATATTATTATTAGAGAATTTATTCGAGTATGTTTTGACGCTTTGAAACTTAACCGAATAGTTGTTATGTCAGATCAGGCACAATACCAAGATGTGTTACAAGAAAATTTTTTAAAAATGTGTCGTGAATTATCAGATTGTGTAGAAGATGATACATTGTGGCAAGATGTAGTACAAACCTGTATGTCACCTGGAAGTGACAGCCGTACATTGTTTACAGCTATTAGTGGGGCCAGCCAAGATTCGTCTACTGCCTAATTTTACACTTATGCACTAAGTTTTGATAATTTAATTAAAAAGCCATACCATATTGTATGATTTTTTTTTTTATGTTTAATTTTTTTACTGTATTATGAAAAATTGTAGTGAAGGTGGCCTATATCTCGAGTACAATTATATTTTGTTAAATTATTATTTTTTATACATTATTAAAGTTAATTTAAACAATATAATAAAATTAACTTATTTATTAATCAACTTAGTCATTAAAATATTATTATTATTGGAATAAGGGACTGGTAAATTTAATTAGTGAGAAAGAGGTATGGGAGGCTGTGGCATCAATGAAAAAGAATAAAACAGTAGGACCAGTTGAAATGCCAGTAGAAGTATGGAAAATATTAGGTGGTGTTGGCATAGGTGGTTGAAGGAACTTTTAAATAAAATCTTATTAGAAGGGAAAATTCCAAATGAATGGAGGAATAGTATTATGGTGCCGATATTTAAAGGTAAAGGTAACATGCAGAAGTGTGGAAATTATAGAGGCATAAAGCTTATGAGTCATAGTATGAAAATTTGGGAAAAGGTAATAGATAAGAGAATAAGAAATGAGACATCGGTATCTAAAAATCAGTTTACCTGGTAAATCAACAATGGAGCCAGTATTTTATGTGAGGCAACTAATAGAAAAGTTTAGGGAAAAGAAGAAAAAGCTGTATAGTATTTATAGATTTGGAGTAAGCGTATGACAGAGTACCAAAAGAGGTTTTAAAGTTAGCATTAATGAGAAAAGGAGTCCCAAGAGAGTACATTAATATAATAGAAGATATGTATGATGGCACTTGTACCAGGGTAAAAAGTGTAGGAGTATCAGAAGATATAAGAGTTGGTAGGGTAAGGAGTGCACCAAAATTCTGCTTTAAGCCTTTCTATAGTGATGGATGAAATTACTAGAGAAATACAAGGAGAAGTACAGATATAGTGTTAATAGGAAAAAAATTAATTAAAGGCTAGAGGTGTGAAGATCAGCTCTTAAAGAAAAGGGTTTAAGAATAAGTAGAAGTAAGACAGAGTATATAGAGTACGAGTTTGATAAAGAAGAACACAAGGTGATTGAAATGAGAATATTAGTGACAATAGGCGAGGACGTAATTGGAGAGGTGGAAAGTTAAGTATTTAGGATCAGTTGTGGCAAATAGCGGTGGTATTGACGAGGATGTAAGGAGGTTGAACTGGAGAGAAGCGTCTGGTGTCTTATGCGATAAAAGAATTCCAATGAGGCTGAAAGGTCAATTCTACAAGACTGTAGCGAGACCAATTATGATGTATGGTTCAAAGTGTTGGGCAGTTGATAAGAAAGTAGAGCAGAAAATGAGTGTAGCAGAGATGAGAATGCTTAGATGGATGAGTGGAGTGACTAAAGAAGATAGGATAAGAAATGATCATATAAGAGGGAGTATAGGTGTAGCATCAATCGTGGATAAGATGAGAGTAAATAGACTTAGATGGTTTGGTCATGTTATGAAGTGAGAAGAATCGGAAGCTGTAAGAACAGTTATACAAATGAATGTTGAAGGAAGAAGAGATAGAGGAAGACCAAAAAAGAGATGGAGGGATGCTATTGAATGCGATATCAAGATAGCTGATGTGGGAGATAGTGTCAATTGGAAGTTTAGAATATGGGTGGCCGACCCCAAGTAGTTGGGATTCAGGCGAGGAAGAAGAAGAAGAGAAGTTAGAAATTAATTATTAGCCAAAAAATAAAGGTCATCATGAAAAATTTCAGTATGAATTTAAAGTTTACCTGTTCTAAATTTATTATATGTAGTAAAGGGTATTACTCAAGACCACTTTTTGATTTTTAGGACTCATAATGTGTAATAAATTCTAAATTTTTAAGTGCGTAATTAATAATCTGTTCATGCATTAAATTTCATAGAATAAAATTGAGTTTTACAAAAATGAAAAAACGTGGTGAAGTTTAATTATCAAAGTATACTGATTACCATACAATAGTTGGAAATTTTAATTCAGTGTAACGTTATTATGCACAATGAAGCAAAAAAAAGAGTTCACTAACAAATATGTATAAATTCATATTTGATCATTATGAAATTTGTAAAATATATTACCAAGAAATATAACACATCAACGAATTTATATATACACACATTTGTTTATACCGATTATCAAACACAAACGGATATAAGAATCGTAAAATAAACGCCATTTCGCATTTATCAAAAAAATAAAAAATTGTTCTATCATATATAATGTTTCTATCATTTCTTTAAATTTAATTTCCAGAGAATCATTATTTATGACAAACCTTAACTTAAATTATTATGAGTAATTCTACGTTTACATTAAAATTGCTCATAAATATTTGATGTTTATTGTAATGTCATTTATAGACTAAATATTTATTTTATTTTATGAACAGTATTTTAACATATAAAACAGTTATATTACTGTTATTAAGAGTTTTATACAAAAATAACATTTTTTTGAGAAAGTAACAGTTAACTTTAATTTTGAAAGTAACAATAACCGTTTGTAATAGTTATCAAGATTGATAACAAGTTTCCATCGCTAACTGTTTGATAATATCGGTGGCTAACCTGTTTCTTTAGTAATTGAAATGATAACGGCGCCTTGGTGAAAAATACATTCAGCATAGTGTGACTTATCTGTGGTTTGGTAGTCCGGTGTTATTTGTAATGGGTTTGTGTTGGTTTTATAAAAACTTCTTTACAAATTAACATGAGTTATTGGAAAAATTTTTCCGTTGATGCAAACGAACTGAAAGATTACTTTAAAACACATAAAGCGGTTAAAGAGTTTCAAGCTCATTCATCAAAAGTGCATTCAGTCGGCTGGAGCTGTGACGGAAAACGTTTAGCATCTTGTTCTTTTGATAAGTCTGTTGCTACGTTTACTGTTGACAAAGACCGATTGGTGAGACATTAAACCAAAATTTTTAGTTACTCTATTTTTTTTTAGTTGTAAGTATTTAGTGCTCTATCATGGATACAAATTTTGATGAAACTAAACCAATCAGAATTGATCGTTTAAAAGTTGTAGGTTTAAAAAGAACTAAAGATGATATTGTTATAAAAGCTACTAAATGCTTATTTAATTCTAAAACACTTGGCGATGCCATTTCTAATATTAATGAAGCCAAAGCAAACCTTGCTAGACTGAATTGTTTTAGTGAAATAAATGTTAAATTAGATGTGAATTCTATCAATGACCAAGAAAGTTTCTTAGTTCAATTTGATATAAAAGAAACAAACTGGATTCAAGCAACAATAAAGTTTGCATCTGATGTTTCTTATGAATTTAATAACAATCCAAAGATTTCTTCTAATTTTTCACTTACAAATTTATTCTGCCGTGGTGAAAAACTAGATATGTCTACAGACTTGTATTCTGCAAAAAAATTTTCTACTGGAAGTATTACATTTTCAAAACCATTGATTGCACCATTGAAACCTAATTTTCATGCATCAATTTTCAAGAATTATTTAAACAAAAGCAAATTTGGCTTTTTTCAAGATGAGGCAGGATTAAGTTCTGGGTTTAATCTAGAGTATAATTCTCTCAAATTAACATTAGGATGGGAAGGAGTTATGAGGACATTAGGACAATCAGTTAGTCCACCTTTTGGAATACGTGAACAACTTGGATTATCTTTGAAATCATCATTAAAAATGGTTTCAACATATGATACACGTAATAGTGAAATATTTCCTCTAAATGGCACATTGTTGCAGCACATAGTTGAAGTTGCAGGTCTTGGAGGCAATCATGAATTTATTAAAAATGAAGTTTTACTTCAAAAAAATATAAGAAGTTTTTTTGCCACCACTATTACAGGATCATTATCTTTTGGAGTTTTAGAATCAAATGGAAAATCTAACATTTTAGACAATTTTTACTTAGGTGGTCCTTTGACTTTCAGAGGATTTGATGATTATGGTATAGGTAAACAATATGATGGAAGTGTTACTGGAGGCACTATGTACTGGAGATTAAACACTCATTTTCATGTTCCTCTACCATTTTTATCAGAAAAAAATCAGTTATCACATTTTATAAGAATGCATGTATTCATGAACTCTGGTAATATTGGAAATCGACAAGGCACTCTGACTAATGATATAAAATCGTTATTGAGAAACATTCGTCTATCATTTGGCGCTGGTCTGGCATTTCATATGAATAATATGTTACGTTTTGAATTAAATTATTGTCTACCGGTTTACTATCAAAATGGAGATTCTATTATTTTAAATAGATGTCAGTGGGGTTTTGGTTTTTCTTATCAATAAAAACCATAAATTCTCTATTATTGTTATTAGATTGGTTTGTGTTATTATAGTTGTTGTGAGAACAAAGTAATACTTATGATTTAATTTTATAGAATGTATTTATACTAATAAATATTGTACTATTTAAAAATAATGTCTTAATAATTTTATTTTTTTATATAAAAAAAAGTTGTAAATTTGACATTCTGTAAACAAAAATTTAGTCTGATTAAATCAATTGTAGGAAATAAATTTATATAAATAACAATTAAATTTTAGTTTTAATTTATAATAATATATTGTTAAAACATAACAGAAAAATATTAGCATATTAATAAATTGAATTATTAAAAATTGTTTTGAAAAAATGCAATAGTTTTGCTTTGGATTTTGATAACAATTATTAGTAATGTGATATAAAAATAAATGGAATAAACTGTTATTAGCAAAATGTTGGGCTTCTACACTGTTTAAGTTTGATATATACGAGTAATAATAATTTAATTTATTTATAGAGGATTTGAGTGAATTATTTTAACCAATGTGTGGTATGTAATAAAAAAAAATGTAATTAATTATTATGAAAATGAATCTATTTTCATATTTTGTTAAAGATATTTTTTATAAGAATCTACCATCTCAGAAAGAACTATCATTTCTTTGATTCCCCATTATTTGTTTGATAACTATTATTCACAAAACATATCTTTTAGACATATTGAAAGAACCAAAATGTTTATTGTATAAATAATTTCATATATTCAAAGCTTATTTTTTCATGTTAGTTTTGTTGGAATGAAATGTTTTATTTCAATTTAAAATCATGAGATTTATTAGAATTTTATTTTTTTTTATGGTTTGATAAATTGAGATACAAATTTTTTTCCCCAAGTGCTAATTTTAGTTCAACTGTCAATGAATTATTGGTAATTTTATTCAGATTTATTTGTAAGTAATTTTTGGATTCATTCCAAAAATACAATATTCCGAAACAGTCATAAACTAGTTATGAACAAAAATTTTTGGGGAATTAAGGCAAATTTAATTATATTTATTTACACATATTTTACATTAAATAATTCATTTACTTTACTATTTAAAATAAATTATTTTATCAACTTATTTACTTCTATTAATTTAATTTCTATTTAAGGAAATTTTTTATAATAATCAACAAACATTTTACTTTGATACCTATCTCAAAAGTTAAATTGTTTAATTTTTTATAAGACTGCTTACTTATTTTTAGAACAAAGAATATACTTATAAAGGTCATGGTGGTAGTGTTGATCAGTTATGTTGGCATAAATCTAATCCAGACTTATTAAGTACAGCAAGTGGTGATAAATCAGTGAAAATTTGGGATGTTAGACATCAAAAATGTTCAAATACTATTCCTACAAAGGGTATAAATAATATTTATTTTAGATACTTATTAAAGGTCCTTTTTTATTTAATTTATGTTTTCATTTAGGAGAAAATATTAACATAACATGGTCACCTGATGGTAATACAATTGCTGTTGGCAATAAAGAAGATTTAATTACCTTTATTGATATGCGTACATTACATACGATTAATGAGCAACAGTTCAATTTTGAAGTTAATGAAATGTCATGGAATAATGAAAGCGATTTATTCTTTCTAACTAATGGTTTAGGTTATGTTTATGTGTTAAGGTAAAATTTTCTCTAATTAAATTTTAATATTATCTTATTAGATTTAATAAAATGTTATTTAATTATAGCTTTCCAGACTTAGTACAGCATCATATTGTTAAAGCCCATCCTGGAACTTGTATTTGTATTGAATTTGCTCCAAATGGCCAATATTTTGCGGTTGGTTCTGCAGATGCATCTGTATCATTATGGGATTTGGAAAATTTAGCATGTATTCAAACGTATAATAGGTATGTAAATAAAATAATAATATTTTGTTGTAAATTAATATATATTTTTGTTTATAGGTTGGATTGGCCAGTACGTGCAATTAGTTTTTCATATGATGGGAAAATGTTAGCTTCAGGTAGTGAAGATTTATACGTTGACATTGCTGATGTAACTACTGGGGAAAAAGTAATGTATAATATTACAGAAAAAAACAACTAATTATTAAATCATCATTTTTAGATAACTGATGTACCTATTGAAGCTGCAACATTCACAGTTGCATGGCATCCTAAACAATATTTACTAGCATTTGCATGTGATGACAAAGAGCAATTTGATAGAAAAAGAGACACTGGTAATTTAAAAGTGTTTGGTTTCAATTCCGAATAATTAGATAATTAAAATTTTATTATTAAATATGTTCATGTATTATTCTTATGTAATATTTTATACTACAAAAACAAATGATATATTCAGGTTGTTCAGTATGTAAGGAAACAGGTCACTTGTTATAAATAATAAGAACAATAGAAACCCATTTCCTTACTTACTGAACACCTTAAATATATACTATGATTAATTTTTTTATGTTCATTATTTGGTAATATTTAAAACTACATGACTTATATGCTTAAGATATTTTCTTAATAAAAAGAAACTGATATAAATTATAAATAAAAATTTGGTAATAAATTAATTTAAATCTTTATTCATTATTTGATGGAATATATTGAATTATTGCTATTTTAAAGTACTATATAAAAAAAAAAAACAATATATATGTCAAACTAAAAGGTACACTTAAAATACCAATCAAGTTCATTTTTATATAACTTGCAATGAAGCGAAGCTAAAAAATCACAAAAACAAACATTGTATAGTTGAGCTACAAAATAAATACTGGTAATTTAGTCATCATAAATATGCTAATAGTGTAAAATTAAATGTTTACAAAATCATTATCATAAACTCAGCAAACATCTTGTCCAATAGTATGTATAAACTTTTTAATTCATCAAATTACCGTACTAATGAAAATTATTAATAAATAAATGCAATTTTTTTTTATTCGCCTTTAAAGTGAATAAACTTAATTACTTTTTTCAAGTTCGTAAATAAGCTTACTAATTATTGAAGATTTCTTAGAAATTTCTCATTGTGCTTTGTTTTTGGCCAAAAGTTCACAAACGAACAATGAAGTGTGATCAGATGCATTATCTTTGTGCAAAAGCCATGAATTGTTTTGCTACAAATCTGGTCATTTTTTCTGATTGTTCAAACGGTGTTGAACTTGTAGGTTGTACTTCTTATTGACCATTATTTAAGAATTCATGATGCTCTATGCCATTAAAATTGAAGAACACAGTGAGCATAACCTCCACATTCGATCGCACTTGTCGAGCCTATTTCAGTCTTGGCGATCCAAAATGCATCCACTGGGACGATTGAACCTTAGTTACAACGTCTTATCCACAGTCTCATGTTTTGTCACCTGTTATAATACGTTTCAGTAATTCTGCATCGTCGTTGACTTCATCGCTGATGTTTTTGTTCAAAATTTAACAATTTTGAGATAAATTTTGCTGCTATGCGTTTCATACTCAAAACATTCGAAAAAATTTCATAGTACAAACCAATCGATATTCAAACATTATTAGATGTTGGACACAATCGACTTCTCTGATTGTGTTTCGCGGTCGTTCATAACGATTTCTTTCACTTTTTCATCGGTTGTTGATGTGCTGAGGTGTTTGTCATCCTCAACGTCTTTACAGCCATCTTGTAAATGCTTATACCACTCGTAAACCCTCGTTTTACTCATGGCAGACCACCATAGGCCTATGTTAACATTTCACACACTTTATTTCATTTTTTACTCAAAATTTAATACAAATCTTTCGATTCATTTTTTTTTCAATAAACGAAAATTGCTGAGCTCATAAAAACACGTATAACCTTAGCGGCTGCCAGTGAAAAATAAATCCATCTATCTACTTTTTTTTAATAATGAAAAAATTTTGTTGATAATCGGACTCACCAAACCTGCGAAATTAAAAAATTCCCGTTATTTTCTTAACACAACTCATATTTTAAATTAAAGGTTAAATAATATACATCATAAAAAAAATTGACTTCTAGATTTGTTTTCAATGTGTAAATAGGGGATAAAAAAACAGTATGATTTTAGTTTAAAAATTACAAAATTCAGAAAAATTAAATGAATTGATTTACACAAATTTTTAAAAGGGTTTTAAAAAACAAGTGCCAATTCTATTTGTCATGAGAAAAGGTTAGAAGGCCAACCCTTCACCTGCCCAATATTTTTTTTTGAAACTGTTAATGCACGATCTTTTTTAGGCGTTTTATGATTGTGATATTAATCACTATCGTATCATTAAAAAGTATAATCAAAAGATTTCAAGGTGTTCAGTTAGGTTCGAAAATCGAATCAAAATATATACTGAATTTTCCGAAGAATGATTTAAAAAATGTATTTTTTATTGAATGATAAAATTAATAATTCTATTACTACACTGGAATAGCGTTAAAATATAAAATAAGTAAAAAAAATAAGCACTTAAACTTCGTAATATGCAATATAAAAATTAATATTTAGCTTATTGGTTTGCTAAAACAAATTTACAGCTTACAATTGTATCTTCATAGATAAGGGATCGAAAGATTAAAGCCCCCCTCACAAGAAAAAAAAAATTAGTAAAATTATTTACATTGTCTTATAAAAATTATTTTTGGAAGAGGAAAAATTAAAATCAGGCCAAACAAACCACACACCTGAGTATCTTAGAAACTATCACAAAAAAATAAATAAATGCTAGAAGTTATAAGCACTGCTAATAATTAGTGAATGTTTTTAGTTATATAGATAGCTGAGTGACTTAAATAATTATAAATTAATATACAGAACCATATATAATTATTTGACATTTTTTAGAATTAAAATTAACTTGAGTCTTCTTTTAGCATAAGCACAGACTACATAACTATTTTCATAAAGCCTGTGGCACGAGTCTTTTACGTCAATCAGCTGATTGACATATTTAATATTGATAACGCTTTTACTGTGCGAATACATTTCGAATACTTGAGGAGAATGAGAATCTTAAAAATTAAAGATACTTAACACAATTTACTTCAAAAGTCATATTAATTACCACTAATTACATGTTTATTGCCTAACCGATCAACTACTGATAGGTATTTATAAAATCAGACTAAAGATAATATACTCGCAGTGTAAAAAAAACATTAATTATTCAGTCTATTAAAAACTTTAAACATATCCTAAATAACATTTTTAATGTATGAAGATAATTAGTATTTTTTGTTTAATATTTATCGTTAAATAGGTAAAAAAATCAATTAAAAAAAAAAAAAATGACTATTGTACTATGTCAGGATTTCTCTAAATATGGTATAAATACGATTAGAGGTAATGGGAATTTTTATTAACTTTTCAATTTTTTACAAAAGTAGATTTTGCATATCTTTTACGAAACACTTTATTATATAATAAACAATGCGTGAACACATTTTAATTGATTTTAAGCATTTATGATGAATTTTCTTATACTTTTACCCAAACATGACTGCTATTGAAATGTCATTCTGCAAAATTGTATTAAATGGTACTCTATTTATTTAAAGGTTGGTATAAAACACAATTTCAATATTTTAACATTTTTCTTCTATTTTGAAAAATAAATATGAACTCAAAAGTATTGGAATCGGTAAAAAAAATACTCAACTTTACAGTTAAACGTGGTGGATTTGATAGAGTTTTTGATAAAGTATGAATTTAAATTTAGTTTTCTATTTTTTTATTTTACTGGAAAATTAGTATAAAATTGTTTTTATGATGTAATTGAATAAATAGGTTAAAATAATATCAGCTGGTAATGGGAAGTGTATGGCAGAAATGGTTGTAGAAAAAGACCACACAAATGGATATGGTACACTTCATGGAGGTTTCACTGCATCTGCTGTTGATTTATTTTCAAGTTTAGCTGTATCAACTCATCCAAAAGTTGTTGAAGATATTGATTCAATTCCTAGAAGTGGTGTTTCAGTTGATTTACATATATCGTAAGAAAATATTATAATCTATTTAATCTGATTGAATTATAGAATTTTAAATTGAGTAAATGTTGATTTTGTTTTAATTTTACTAATATGATTATTAAAACTTCTATATATTACTATTATATTACCCCTGAATCAGTGTACTTTTGCATGGTGTGAGTAATACAGGAGTTATTAAATGTTCTTAAAGAGAATACTTCAATAATATATAAGGAATTACAAATACAGATAGCTAATTGGTATTTTATGATATCGCCATCATAGATATGGAGCTTTTATTGTAAATTATGACTATCGATAGATATTTTTTCTGTGTTGCCATTTATGCCTTACAACCACACTTTAAGCATATCTATTATAAAGTCATAATTGACAATAAATTTTGCAAATCTGCAAATAGTGATGTCATAATGAAACAATTAGCTACCTGTATTTGTAAATCCTCATATATTATACATATAAAATATACATTGTATATTATCTCAAAAATTTAAAACTATTAAGTGTCATTTCAAATAAATAAATAAAGTTGTATTAAATTTTAAATGCCATTTATAATTAAAAAAAAACTCAAATATATTATTAAATTTAAATAATGTGTTCCTTTTGAAAAAACAAAGTTGACATCTTTACAAAACATAAAAGATGAACATAAAAAATATTACATAGCTAATAATTCAAAAATAATATGTAATCAAAGGTATTAAAAAAATTTTTTTTAATTGTTATTCTGTAAATATTTGAGTGAGTTATAATGAAAAAAATCATTCTATATATGTATACATATTTTGCACCTCTCACAAGAAAATATTCTGGAACAGTTCCGTGTTCAATAAATACATTTTTTTTTTCTAATTTCAAACATTTTATTTATAATTAATTTATATTATTATTTTAGATATTTGGCATCTGCAAAAATTGGCGAAGAAATTGTCATAAATGCAGATACTATTAAGCTAGGGAAACATTTAGCATACCTCGAAGTAATTATGTCTAAAAAAGCTGACAATGTAATAATTGCAAAAGGATCACATACAAAATTTGTTAAAGAATAAATAATTTTGAAAAATTATTGTTGTTTAGAATAGCAATGTTGTTGATTTAATGTTTTTTTTTTTATTACATTATTATATTTAACATCAGTTGTAGTAAAGAAGATGGTAAATATACGTAGACCAGTGAAGTAGAGTGGTACTTAAGTATGTGTTCATTAACACGTAATGTTGTTTCAACTAAATTTATTCATAAAACTGTGGTGCAAGAAGTAATTAAACATAAATAACGTTTTTGTAGTATTAATATTGTATCCTAACTTGATCAATACAAATATTACAAAATTACAAATAAATGTAGTGTGATTTATTTAGAATATTATTCTCCATAATTAAAATTTGATTTATTTTTTGAACCGAAGTAAATATTAAGTTAATGTTGAAGTTCTTACCATTCTAAAGTTGAAATGGAGGTGAGTCGAGGGTGTTGCTATTTTTATTACTAGATGTTTCTTGGCCTCATTCTTCTCGCTCAGGGCTTAAATCAAAATTATTTATTTTTTTTTTACGTGACAGTTAAATCATTTACAATGTAATCGCGTTATACGTTTTAAATAATTAAAACGTTATGGATTTGTAATTTTTTCCGCAGTGCAGTATTTAAACAATATCAATTTAATACGTTGTATCCTAAAGGATACCTAAAGCGGTATCTTAATGCTATTTTATTTTGTTCAAAATTTTGCTATAAATGTTATTAATTATTATACCTTATTTGAAATTAACCTGTCAATTTTCGTATGTGAGAATTTCTTTATCATAGTTTTTATGTTGAATAACATTAACTTGCTTATAGAGTTATATTTTCTGCAAATTTATTGTATTGTAATTTATATTGTATATTATGAATTTTAACGAATCATCAAAATGTTTTCGTTTTCTGTTTAGTTTTGTTTTATTTCGTTTAAAGTTATATATTTGTTATTATTATACATTTTTCGTTAATCGTTACTCGTTTTATTTACGTTTTACGATTCCAATTGTTTTTGGTAGTTATAACATTATAATCATAACGTTTTAAAAAAGATTTCAAGCCCTGCTCCCGCCTAGATATAAAAATGATTAATAATTTCTGAAATACCAACCAAAAAGTTGTCAACGATCCACTTCTTTTCTTAATTAGATCGTTATCTAATAAATAAGCTAGTTAATTATTTTACAATTTGATTGAAAAAAATAAAATCGACACCCTTATAAAGGATAAACAAAAAATATATTGTAATGTAACAGATAAATGGAAATATGTATTTAATTAACAAAAGCCAAGAAAAAAAAACTTCTCAAGGCATTATTTTTTTAAGAGAGATTGAGTGGCTAGTGTTAAAATAATCGACTTGAGTATAAAAACACATTTACTAATAGACAAGGTATAATGATTTTTTATACATTTTCCATAGTAATATTTATAATGTTTTGAAACGCCATAAATGACCAAGAAATTTCAACGATTGGGGTACACGTCTCTTGTACCCCTCCCTAAATACGTCTCTGAATTTGAAACAGTTTAAAACTAAAACCTCGTCTCTTGTCCTTTTCCAACGTATAATCAAATGAAATTCTCTTACTTAACCAAATTTGATTAACCTTGTATGTATTTTAACTGTATGTTAAGTAGGACCAAAAATAATAATTTCTTATAAATTATATTATATATTTGGTCGCTTTCTTAGTAAATCTAAATCTAAATTTATTTGAATTGTTATTTTCTTTACCTTCCTTAGTTACTTTACTTTAGATTATTCTAGTTCCATAAAAATATTACCAAATGTTTATTTAAAACGTACGGTGTTGCATTTATTCTGTTATCCTATTTAAAAATTAGTTGGTACCCGCATCTCTTTAATATTGATAACACACATACATTAAATGACTAGGCTTTTCAAAATTATATCAATTGGTTGAAATGTGTCGTTATTGTTTTAATAATTATAAGATTAAAGATGTTCAATAATAATAATATGTATGTAATTACTTATTTTGACGTCATGCATTTTAAATTAGTATTAGCTAAAGAATTTTTATCAAGTATTTTTTTAAATCTAATATAGGTTTTTCCTTAATTATAATTGACAATTATTATTCTAGTATAATTATTATGAATTACTCAAATACATTTGAATCTGTGAAAAAATTATTTAACCAATTGGTCAAAAGTGATGGATATTACAAAAACTTTGATAAGGTAAAAAATATTGCAAAATATATTTCACAATAATGTAATATGAAAATATTACATATTTCTCATTATCCGCATAACAATGTTTCTGTTCTTTCTTTCTTAAAAATACATTCTTTGGCTGACCGTAAATACTTTTTTATTTTCTGGTAAATTGATTCTCCTGCTCTTGTATTCCTTGTTAATTTTTAAATTATTATTTATCATACTTGTAATTTAGTCTCTTTTTAAAATTCCTCACTCATTTAAAGATTTCCAACAAAAGTCCTCTCTTGTACATCTTATGCAAACTATAAATAGTGACCCCTTCTTATTTTAATATTATTTACATGTTTTATTGTTCAGCTTTACTAAAATTATTTACTGTGATGTATTTAACCTAACCTAATGCAATAATTGTAATAGGGCTTATTCTATTCAAATTATAAAATTAAATAATTAGAAAAAATTTGTACTAATTAATAACTAAAATAATATATTCTAGTTATAATACATATAAATTTAAGGAGTATAGGTGTTTTAAAAACGGATACATATAATAATGATACATAACAAAAATATTGGGCTATCTGTATGGGTTTTTCAAGTCAAATTAATTATTCAAGTTATGAATAATTATTTTCAGACATTTTTAAATGTTTTTAAAAAAAAATTTCAAATAAGTTTTTTTTTTAAATTAATTTACTGATGACTATTTTCAGTTGTGTTTTCAATCTATATAAAAAATTAGTGTGAGAACATGTAGAAGACCCAATGTTTATAGTAGGATATTATTGATATAAATTTGACTTATGTATAAATATATGTTTATATTTCAAGATTACTGAAATGTTTGTTTAATCATTGTGTGACATAATTAATTGTCTAATAAAAAGATTACTTAAAAGGTAACTTAAAAAATGTTTTTGAACTAAAAAAATTGATTTCTACAAAAAAAAAAACAAAAATTTTATTTTCATAAAATCTTTAAATTATTTGCATTTTTATGTATAAAACATTTTAAGGCTAAGGACCTTTTTATTTTAATCAAAAATTTATTTAAAAAAACTTTTAAAACCTTTTTTTGAAAAAACTGTTAAAAACCCAAATATGTTGGTCATATAATTTAGGTTTCAAATAAAAAAAAAGTCTCTTTTCAAGAAAATTTCAATCATGCAGTTAAAGTTTGTATTTTTTCTGCAGTATTTTTTTGAAAAAAAAAAAATTATTTAATTTTTGGTAATTGGCATTTTTAAATTTAAGCATCAGATTTTTTGTCTCAAATTATTACAATAATTTAAGCATAAATTTTCTATTGCATAGGTAAGATTAGTATCAGCTGGAAATGGCAAGTGTGTTGCAGAAATGGTTATACACAAACACCATAGTAATATTCATGGAACACTTCATGGTGGTTTTATTGCATCTGCTTTAGATTTTTTTTCGAGTTTGGCACTATTTACACATCCTAAAATTGCAGATACTATTAATTCAAAGCCTAAATTTTGTGTATCAGTTGACATCCACGTATCGTAAATATGAGATTTTTTATAAAAACTACTTTCACTTTCCAAAGAATATAAATAAAAATAATTTAATAAATGATATGATCTCAAAAAATCATATGCTAAAATATATTTTAATAATTAAAGTTAAATTTTTAGAATAATTATTTTCTTTACTAATGCAATTTGTTCCAATTATTTAAATTTTATTTTTAGATTATATAGTGAAAAAGATAAATTTTTTAAGATAAGTTATGAAAATTAATTAATAGTCATTATAAATTATGTTAGACAATATGTAGTATTTAGAATACTACATATTGTTTAATTAAAACAGTGTAGTTTGTAATATTCTTCTATTATATAAATTCAAATAATATGTTATTATTTATATTTATCACATTGAAGTCACTTCCATCTAAATTGATTTTGCTTTTCTTGGTTAGATTGTAGTGTAAAGTGTTTTAATTAGTAATAATATTGTCTAATTCATTCCTATTTAGATATATGGCGTCTGCAAAAATCGGAGATGAAATAGTTATTGAAGCACAAACAATAAAGTGTGGAAGAAATATAGCTTACCTTGAAGTAATTTTATCAAAAAAATGTGTTAATGAAGTAATAGCAAAAGGCTCTCATACACTATATATTATTCAATCTAAAATATGATTGAATACTTGTAATTTAACAAGCATATAAAGATTGTTATAAAAAAATGTTTATAATATTACCCTGTCAGTACAAGGTTGTATGTTAAAATGTATGATATTTTATATAATTAAACACAAGTATTCCCTATATAAATATACAAGTTACTCTTGTAAAAATCAACTTGTGCTTAAAATCAATTTGAAGATGTTTGTTTTGTAAAGTCTTTTTTGAGATATGCTCTCTTGCACTCATAGTGTGTTATAGTTGTTAAAATTTTATTTTACTTGTATTAATTTTATAAAAGAAAGTTTTTTTTACTATTTTTAAAAAGAAAAATTATGTTATATGTAATATTTGAGTTAAATAGTTTATTATTGTATACAATTGTTATGGTATTTTTATCAGTGGCAGTTATTAATTAAGTATTATATAAGTTCAGGATGTATGGTGAATAATTGAATAGATAAACAGTAAATGATTTACATGCGGTTTAAAAATAAATCACTGCTAATATTTCAAAATCTTTAAACGATAATAGTAAAAGTTGTATGTTAACTATTTTCATAGATGTTTGGCGGGGATGAGCTAGCCCTAAAAACGTAATTTCTTATTTTTAAATTGTAATGTAAACTCTTTTCTTTGTAATTTCGTTTTGGAAATAAAAAAAAAATTATGATGTTTTAAAATTTTAAGAATGCATAAGGTCAATTAAGAATAATTAGAGTTTAGTGTTACTACAAAATGGAAAATAAAATTTATATTATACAGATATAATGATTCTAGCTCTATTATCTTTATTACCTTATATTAAGTTTATGTTAAAAATTATGTTATTTTAATAATTTTGGAAAAGTTGACTTATTTCATTAATTGTTAATTGTTTAATTGTAAGAAATTTACCATTTTTTCAAGAAATTATTAAGATGATTATAAATTAAGGATAATTTTTAAAAAAAAATGTATTTTTTTAGCTAGGTCTTTTATTGTATTCTGAAGTTTCATATATACATAGGTATTTAATGTTGATTTGAATACTTAAACATATCTATATGATTGGTACAAGGCTTAAGCCTCTCCTTTTCTCTTAAAAATTGACCATCCTATACCTATGACTATTATAGTTAAATGATCAATAGCCCAACAGAGGTCATTGTTGTATTTTAATTTTTGTACTTAAAACCAGAGATGATTTTAACTTCTAACTTCAGAAATTATTTAATTTTAAAATGGCATAAATTAAAATGTATGTTATGTTTCATTAAAAACTAATAAAACAGAATATATGTTTCTTATATTTTTATTTATACTTATTTTAATTATACTTTTGTATATAAATTAAATTATCTTAAAATTTTGATATTATAATTCTGTTTAAGATTATGTATTTTAATAAATTTATATTAATGTATATCTATGTTGGTTTTTTACAAGTCTATCTTTTCTTTACATGCAGGCCTGGATTAAGAGAGAGCGAACGCCACGAGCCTATCTCGAATTTATAGGTCTTAATTGGACCCTGTTTACATGAGGGTTAATTCTATTGTACATTTAAAATTGTTTAGTTAATTTCAAATTGGTAAGATTGACAGTGATTATATTTATAGTCATCGAACTAATGCTTAGACATATTACTTCAAGAATTTAGGTGAAAGGATTATTAGCAGTTTATAATCGACCACGCCAAAACTATCAAACGAAAACTTACGACAATATTGACTTTCAAGCAGATAACGGTTTCATGTGAAACCCCAAAATTTAGAACTAGCCGTTGGGTGTCGTATTACAGACTTCCATTATTTGGCTACCGAGATAGCTGGTTAATGGTATTAGTTTAATGCCATCGCAAACAAAACTAATTTTCATTCGAAAACATTTAATTTTCATTTATGAAATATAAAAATTACCCAAATTAAGTTATATATTTAAAATAAATTCGAATTCGGGGTAAAAATAATCCGTTGGAAGGAATTGGTACAAATTTTCCAGAAGATGCAAATTATCAAAAATATTCTCATTAACATTAATGGTTAAACAGTGTCGTAGCTAGGATTTCATAATAAGAGGTCATAATATAAAAATCAACGAAATTCGGCAGTTTGGACCTTTTTTTTTTTTTTATTGCTAATCACATAATTTTAGAAATGAATGATGCTACCAATGAGGGGGGTCCCATCCTGGCTACGTTATTGAGATTAAACGATTTATCTAAATAAATATATCTGCAAATAATGTGAATATGAAATCAGTTTTTTTACTTGAGTACATAGAAATTTATTCAAAACTAGCTAAAAGTTTTCTTTAAAAATTGTTCTTGTCTAGTTATTTCACTGAGTTTCTCCCGTCAACATTATTTTTCAGATAATTTATAAATCATGTCATAAAAAATGTCGAAACTCTCGATTCGACTTTTATGAATTAGATTGATCATATCACGGTCCTACACTTTCATCATGGAGGTGTCTACATTTCCGTTGTCCTATAAAATGTGTTCCAGGAGGTTCAAAAAGAGCTCTTCACGTTACGACTGCGTATTGTGGGATACAATGAGCTATAGGTACACACCGGAATTATTACAAGAAAAATATGCGTGGCGATATTATTTTATTATTATAATTCGGGCTAGAATCATTTTTTTTTTGGCGTTGGCTACAGAGTGATGATGCGTGTAACTGTAGGATAGGTGTATATGCGTCAATGGTTGTAATTTAATAAAAAAAAAAAGTATTAAGTGCCCCGCACGGGGAGGCGAGGGGCGGATGAGTTTTATTGTTATTAGTGAGGTAGAGAGAAGTGTAGAGTGACTGTGTAAATAATTTTTGAGTGTCCGAGTGTCCAAACAAAACTACGTCTTCGGTCTAGAGACCCCACACGTCGACTGTTGCGCCGGCTTCTTAGACATTCATGTGGACCCCGTTCATGTGTATTTATTTTTCGGCACCTATAATACTTATATGATCATATATACGTATAGAAATGCACGCAAGTAGATACGACCACAACGACCCATTACCTTAACCCTACAATGCATTAATGCATGTAATATTTTCATTCATAGTTTTTATTCGTTCTAACGTTGTTCCGACGAGTCTACGACTCCCAAGTACGTCCAGATGCACCTTCGTGTCATTCGCCGTAGAGGAGACAACAATAGGTAAAACAGTTATATTTAGTACTTTATTAAACTTCAAACTACACGGTAATCTGACTATAAAAACCTATTGAGTATTTTTAATACGTTTACAATTTGATAAATTCGATTTGACAAAAAAAAATATTCAAGCACAAAAACATATGTTATGGTTTTAATTATCCCAGTCATGCGACTATCAATTAACAAGTACAAAATAAAACTTATAAAAATTTTAAGTATTTACCTCATCTATAAATAGTAATAATATTTTACATACTAAAACACACACACAAATTAAGTAGCGTTCTACTGCCTACACTTATTATAGCGTTATTCGATTCTTTGGGACTCGTTTTGTAAACCTATTAAATTTTTTCGAAAAACTGAAAATTTATTTGCCCGTTATGTGCAAAGTTTCAAAAGACCAATTCATTATTTGTTAGATTTAAGTTGATCAATTGTTGAGCACAAAAAAATCACGTTTCATAGTAAAATACAACATTACACATTTACACAGGACTATTAAACTGTAAAATTTGATTCATGTTTTCCGATTAAATGAACCGTTGATGATCATTACTCGATTTTACTTGATTGTAGAGATGCCTCTGGAAAAATAAAAGGGAAACTACCCTGAAGCCTCCGCAGAACCATTCATCCACGTGCAGTAATACACATGGGATTATAAAGTTCATAGAGAGTTTTAACCTAAATTGAGTAGTCGGGTTGTCTCTCGATTTTCATGTAACCTGCATAAGCACAAATGCGGTCGTACCTGTATCGATTTGTGGTTAATAATTAACGAACAATCGCTGGCAAACGGGTTGCCGCACACAAACTGCTCTGCATACACACACGTACAATAATATAATATGACATTTATGAGACAAGTGGGCATTTTATATTTTGTAATATCCGGTACTTATGGAAATGCACGTGACTGGCACGTGGCCTAAGGATGCGCCGCTAATGCCGAAACCCTACCCTCGAGAATTGCATTTAAAATAATAAACGCTTTATTATAATTGGTGCGTATCGTTATTAATCGAACAACAATAAACATTACGGTTTATCATTTACCGGCAGGCCAACAGTTTTATGTGCAATATATTTGACGAGCAAAACTTTCAAAGAATTAATCAATTGAAGAGGACCGTATCATTGTCTTTATGTGTTAATAACACAATGTTATACATTCTACGAGCAGAATGTACATAATATTTTTAGTTAAACTGCAAGTTCGATTTTATATGAATTTCAACGTTTTCATTCAGAACGCGTATAAACCAATTGCATGTCTACCGACAGGACTCTTTTTTTTTTGTGATTTGATTATTATGTTATTATGTTGATTAGTTTTAGTTGTAATTGAAAATTTAAAAAGTTTTGGCAAACATATTTAAACATTTTCTTCGTGAGCTTATAATTTTGTTGCATATTGTAGTTGAATTGATTTAATAACACATTATACAGAGTTTCTTTTCGGTACATCGATTTTCTGATTATTATTTACGTCTAGTACTGAGTCCAAGATTTAGTGTGCGGTACCCTTTATAAAAAAATAACGATTAAAAAAAATTGTATTTAATATTAACGTTGATCAATAATACTCTTATAGTAATAATTTTAGTCAGAAAAATGTAATGAATAACAGTGTCATACAAAATGTATCTTTCTGNGGCTTGGTACCCTTTATAAAAAAATAACGATTAAAAAAAATTGTATTTAATATTAAAGTTGATCAATAATACTCTTATAGTAATAATTTTAGTCAGAAAAATGTAATGAATAACAGTGTCATACAAAATGTATCTTTCTGAATTTCAAACGAACAAATGTCAATAAGTATGAGGTTTTTAAAATTGTTTGGTGCTCGTGTCTTCTAAGCAAGTCATTCGCATACCAGTTAAGCATTTTAATCGGACGTATATAAATTTAATTTGTAAAAAACTGCATTGAATTGATGAACAATGTGAAGAATTATTTCCTTAGAGCTTTGAACGGTTAACGTGTGTACTACGACATTTTTACCTCATCACCTGCATAAAATTGAATAAAAAATAATAATAGTAAAACGATGAAATCTAAATAAAGCGCGTGAATGTTTTTTTTATATCATTTTTGTTGTGGTAACGCATTTGTATCTCCTTGTCAGTAAGATGTATGATGGCTAGGATTTAAAAACCTATAGACGGAGGATCGCTGGAAGTTAATCTGGTTACAAAACACGGTGGCATCGCCGAATTTATTATTATAATAAATAATATATGTGAAGTATTGTACGGACGTGCAATTGTGTATTAGGAGCCGAAATGAAAAGTGAAAATAAAAAGAGAGAGGAGACGATTGCTTGTAGTTGATACACATTATTACAAACACACAGGAACATATGACGACTACCATATTACACATGTATTGCGATTACAAACGCAGCTTAACGACACAATGGGTACGAATTTTACGGTCAATTGTAAACACCCCAGCCGGGGTGGTGTGGGGGGGGGGCGCACGTCGTTCTTTTATACAAATACGGGCACCTATAAATGTGTTACAACCACCCCGGACAATATGACATGCATGCACCCGACACAAAGAG